TAACTTTCCAAAAACATTTATTGAATTTCTAGAGACTCCCCCTAGAAAGTAGATTATAGTAATGTTTCAGTTAAGCTCAAAAATTAACAAAAAATAAAGAAAACATTTTAAGTACGGGTCCTAAACTGTGTGTTTAGAAATCATAATCGGTAACGCACGGGTTCTGAACCGAAGTATTCATAAGCCTCGTTTAGAATAAATTACAACTCCCCCTGCATTGGTGTATCACTGAAATGATATTCTGATCAGCACAAACTTGACACACCTGCAAAACCAAATTAAGTAGATTTTGGTACCCAAACAAACTTGGGTCCTATTTTGTTAGTATCGGGTTGGGGTACATTGTAACTTCCAAAACATCTATTCTTATTAGATATATTCTTTTTAGCACTGTGAACAGGATGATCAGGAATAAAATATGATCCGTACCAGTAATTGTGATCATACCTGTTCTTACCTTTTGAACTGTTATGATATCTGTAGTCTGTACTCCATCTGTTATATATCTTCTTGTTCACAAAATCTGTTGATTTACATGTGGAGCACATGATCATTTTCTTGCTAAGATTTATCAAGTCAGAATTTGATCTCACAAAACAAGGAAGATTATTAGTAGCAATTGGAGTATGAGTTGAAACAGATTCAGATTTACTAACCCAAATGCTTTTAATTTTAGAAAATTTATTGGGTGATCTGATAACATACCCTTGATAATACTGATTAGAAGAACGAGAATAGTTATTAGAAACAGTAGATTTAGGGCTGCTTGAATAACTGTTCGATTTGAAACAATCATAGAAGCTAGTTTTACACTATGATGGAGAACCAATTGAGCTTTGTGCACAAGAAAAGTCTTTGACTTTCTGTAAAAGCTGGTCTCTTTCAGCAGTAACTAAATCAAACTTAATTTTAAGTTCAGTTCTCATCTTCAGCTCAGTTTCAAGGTCTGTTTTCAGATCAGACAATTTCCTTGTAGTATCCAGGAGTTTACCTTCTAACTCCTTCTGACGCATTTCAAATTTTTTACTTCTAATTTATTAACTCTCTTTTCTCTTCATCTGAGCTGCTCTTATCATTCTCAGAAGCGATGTCAAGCCACTTTTTCTTATTAGCAAGCTCTTTAGCAATTGCTGTATACTTCTTTGAAGTATTTCTTTTCTCAAGAGCAAATTGCATCTTCTCTTCGTCTAAAGCCTTCTGCTTTAGATCAATGTTTTCAGATAATTTCTGTAATTGACTCTGACAGTCTTCTGAGATGTCTTTCTTTTCCTTATCATTCTTTGCTGTAAAAGCATTTTTGCATTTAGCTCTAGAGAGTTAATCTTATTATCATAAGATATACGTTCAGCTCCAAACCTTTTCTCTGAATCACACATTCTCTTCTTTTCCTTTTCAAATTCTATTCTTTCAAAACTGAAGCTCTTCTCAGCTTTCAGAGCTTTTTCCTTCTCTAGCTCTAGTAATTTATGTAACTGACTCAACTCACTCTCATATTTATCAGTTAAGACCTCTGACTCTTTACTATTTCTCCCAAAAGAAATCCTTTCAGTTTGTAGCTCTTGAAGTTTATTGAACATGTCATTATTAGCTTTACTCCAAATTCTCAAATCATCATCATAGTTTTTCCTCACTGAATTTAGAGTTTTCTCAAGTTTATTAATTTTATTCATGAATCATTCTCAACTTTTTCCAATGTTACTTTATGATCTTTTTGAAGATTTGCAATAAATTCCACATTATCATGATTCTTGTAGAACATATTAAGATATTTCTCCTTATAACTCTGTAAGCTCTTGTCCAACTTTGTAATTCTCTCTTTCAACTCCTTATTCTCTTTCTCAAGAATATCTGTCATTAAGAAAAATAAAATTGATCAATTACAGGATCTATGCAGTTCAAGAAAAATGATCAAAGAAAAAAAATCACACAATCCCTAGAAAATCAATTATCTAGATGATCTTTGAACAAACAAATTTGAGACAAGATATCACTCAAAAACAATTTCTAAAAATGCTCAAGGATGACTAAAATCAAACAAAACTGCTCAAAATTTTCTCACTACATGGAGGAATATTACTCACTGCATGGAGAATCACTAAGTATAAATCACTCAATAATAGATCCTTAATCCGGTTAAGCTAAGTAAAAATCGCTCAAGTTTTATCTTAATCCGGTCAAGAAATCCGCTCAATACACAACTAACCTCTTTGTCTGCTCAAATCCGCTCAATTCATGAGACTTAATTCGTTTACCACAGATCCTTAATCCGCTTAACAATATCTGCTCAAAGAAGAAAAATTAGCTCAAGTCACTAAGCTTTAAACCGTTTAGAAGATGTTCGATAATGAACTAAATCGCTTATCAAGGATTTAAAACGCTCACTACTTTGTTCCTTAACCGCTCAAGACTAAGATGTAAAACCGCTCATCATGCAGTCTAAATCATTCACCATGCAAACTAAATCGCTTAAAGCTGCTCAACACTTAGCATCTAGACTGCTTAACAAACAATTCTAGTCCGCTCAAAACAGATTCAAGTCCGCTCAAAACAAATCCTAAATCGCTGAAAACTAACTCTAAATCGCTCACTATGCTGATTAAGTCGCTGACATGATGTCCGAATACGGTAAAAAGGCGAGATAAACTGTTCACAAGCCCACTCACAGTTTGCTAACAGTCCGCTCAAGAACTGCTAATCCGATCACTGAATGGTGTTTAATCGCTCAACCTATGTAGTCAAATCGCTCAAGACTTAGCTTCTCTATTAAACTAATTCGCTCAGGACATGCTTCTCTATTAACCGAATTCGCTCAAGTCATGCTACCCTAGTATCCGAATTCGTTCAAGCCTAGCTTCTCTAGTGTCTGAATTCGGTCAAGACTTCAAACAGAATGATGCTAAATCGCTCAATGCATGCTTCCCATATCCGATTGCTTAATGTCCGAATACGATCAAAAGGGGTGAGATAAATCGTTCACAAGACTCTATACATCGCTCAAGCTATAAGAGAGGCTAAGTATAAATCGCTCACACTGTGTACAAAATCGCTCAACTCACATGCCCTTAAACCGCTCAAAGCAAGATGATAAATTGCTTACTAATTGACCGAATACGGTCAAGACTTGCTCAAACACTTAGTCTTGAACAACTTATATCTGGTCACTTACACAACCTGTTCACAATCAAACTCAAAAAAAAAATCTAAACAGCTTCTAAACTCAGTCAACAAACAAGATTCACACATAGCTGACAATCGAACTAAGATCAAATCATCAAACAAACACAAACTTTACAAAAATTTATACAATCTTTGGATCAAACTTTACCTTTTTAACGAGTTTTTACATGAACACGAAGAACATTAAAATTTTATAAACTCTCCAAATCCTTACTTTTAAAGATAAAATCATGTAAATGAAGGAGTGAAACAAATTCACGATCTAAATCTGTAACCAATGAACACAATTTTAACAATCAAACATCCACAAATGAGAGATTTGGGTAAAAATTTTATGAAGATTAATATGAACAACCAAGAACTTTTATGAACATCAAAGAACAAAAAGATGAAATTCCAAAAAAAATTATGCAATTTGAGATGATTTCTTCAATCATATTTCCTGTAAACGCGCTCTGATACCAATTGTGAGTCCCTACAATGATCAATCTTCATGTAAACTTCATAACAATGACAGATCTGATAATTTCTATATGAACATCATAGAGATGGAGAAGAGAGAAATAGTCGACACTTCAAATCTGGTCAAACTTCACTTTATGTAAAATGAATCTTACAAATGAGTTCCTACCTACAATTACAAGATTTCACCTTATTTGTAGGGTCAAACTAGACAAAATAGTCAAAGTCAAACTATCCTAATAAAAGTCAAACTATCCTAATAAAAGTCAAACACGATGACTTTTATACAATTATAGACAATTTTATCTTTCAAGACGAATACAATTTTTACACTGAATTTCATTCATAACAGATAGTATAAATTTAATTGTGAGATACTTCATACTTGAACATTTTGGTTCCAATATTATTATTAACCAACCGGAGCCAACTCAACGTCATGTCATGTCATGTCATGTCATGTTATGTTATTATATAGTAATTTTGTTTTAAAATAGATGAAAATATTACTTAAGAAAATTGACGTATTGTTTTTAAAATTAAAAAAGGCCACTTAACTTATCCTCCTCGTGCTTACTCGTGTCTCTCGGTTTCATTTAGGTTCGTTACGAATTGGAATTTGGAACCACAGGGAAAAGATCTGCCCAAGCCGGTCGACTGTTTTTTTCTTGACCGCCACTTAAATCTATTTTTTTATATAAATAACAAAAAGTGATGGAATCAAGATCTCGAGCATCAATTATAAATTAAAAAATTAAATATTAATTTTCTGATAATAGCAAAAATGGTATTATAATGTTTTTGAAACACTAATCTAATTAAGGCAGTTTCAACAGTTACTTCGACAAGTAATAAATAACTTATTATAGACAAATAACAAATAAAAAAACTAGAACATGCAAAAGATTTACGATATACTTTTTGATTGTTAGGAGTTGTTTGTTTACCTCTTAATTGTTATGAATTGAATGTTAACAAAATATATATGTTACAAATTAAGTTGATCATTTCTTATAAATTTAAAAGTTGGTATAATCAGTTCTAGAAAATATGGATCTAAGAAGATCAAAAACTGGACCGATTCTATTTGTGAGAACAAATTAAAAAATCCAAACAATTTGGCAAGTAGGACTCGGTACATAGAAGGTTTCAACCATACAAAATATGGCACCAAATGGCATAAACCCTTTGACCACATAAATGTACCCACCCTTTCATTTGGCCTATTTCTTTATTATTGTTCCTTACAGAATCTATATATATATATATATATATATATATATATATATATATATATATCTATATATCTTTCAAATGTGGTAGTTCATCAATTATACCAATACATTTCTCTACCTTCAAACATGTCTTCTCTTAGCTACAATGATTTGCATCGCCTTTTCAAGAAACTCGATCAAAACGGTGATGGCTTGGTGAGCCCTAACGAGCTCCAATCGCTTCTTGATACAATGAAAGTCGGTTCGAGTGTCGATGAGCTAGAACGCTTGACAGGAAAAACCAATCTTAGCTTTTCCGAGTTTTTGGAGTTTTATGGTATGATTGCAGTTACAGAAGAAAAGGAGGGCGAGAATGAATCAGAGAGCGATCTTTTCAAGGCGTTTGAGGTGTTTGACCGAAACCGTGATGGATTCATCTGTGATGAGGAGCTTCAGGAGGTGTTATTGACGTTGGGATTGTGGGACGATAATGGTCGTATGGATGTGAAGAGTATGATCAAAGCGTTCGATGCAAATTGTGACGGTTTTCTTGATTTCCAAGAGTTCAAGAAAATGATGGCATAGATATGCATACATCCATTAGATAACTTCGTACGTAAATTTCATTCGTTACTTTGTAATTCATATAATATTAAATTCTAATGAATCTATATACATTTTATTAATATTAACAAGACGACAAAGAAAAGGGTCATATTGATCATGCTAAAAAGGGCTTATTAATTAATTAATTAATTACGAGGTCCCTAAAAGCCGAAACGACGTCGTGGCACTCATTTCTTCTGGTTCTCACCGACTCCAAGTGTGTTCTTGACGCCATCATATGCACCCTGAGCCATGTTCACCACCTGCTCGCCGGTCTGTAATTCAGCCATCATCACAAAAGAAAAAACAAATTAAGATCTTAAATAAATTAAGAGAAATCAAGAAACGAATAATTATGAATTAATGGATAATCAGTAGTGATTAATTAACCTGCTGGAGGATGCCAGCGGCTTCATCCTTACGGAGCTGAGCCTGACCCTCGGTGGCATTGGCTGCATCGGCGGCCTTGTCTTGGGCTTGGTTGGCTTTGTCTTTAGCTGCGCCAGCCACGTTTTCGGCTTTGGCCTGCATCCAAGAAATTAATGAAACATATTAAATTATTAATCAGCAGGTTGCATGCATGGCATATTTACCTCAGCCTTGCCGTAGGTTTCTCCGGCACTCGCGCTGCTTGACATGTTTGGATTGTGGTGGTGGTAATTGGTGGTTGGTGGTTGATGTACGGTGGAGAGTGGAGAGGAGTGGTGGAGGGTATAAATGGTGGTGGTGGTTGGGTACTGATGATACGCAAATACCTTTAACCCTGGTTTTGCTGCGTTTGACTCGGGCAATGCTCTTCTCCTATCCATGGCTTCTCATCCATCACTTATAACCTAACATGCTCCATCCATAAAATTGGATCTCAATTTACGACGGTCAACGTGTTTTCAAAGTTAGGTTGACCTTAACAAATTTGTTAAAAAAAGACCTTTTTTCATGCAGTTAAATTACTAATGGACGTGAAAACCATTAATTTTCTGAGGGATTATTTATTTAAATCCGTCACAAATTTATCTAACTAATTAAAAAAAAAAAACTTATTAATTATAATTAGTGACGAATTTTTACGGATTTTAATTAATTATTTTCTTAAAAATATCCACCACTAATTTTAATTAATTAAAAAACATTATTTATTTTTTTTTAAATTTTTTGAATTAATAAAATACTAATTTTTAACTTTTGTGGTGGATTCCTTGAGATCCGTTGGAAAACTAAAAAAGATTTTTTTTGTCCTTTTCTAAATCACGTTGATTATGAACACCCCAAGATTAAAGGAAAATATAAAGTTAAAAGAAAAGATATAGAAAAATAATGCAATCGACCGGGTTGTATACAAGGGAGAAATGAAATAAAATCTTTAAACCGAAAGTTTCCTACACATTAAATAAAGAATAAGTACAAAAGATGTGTGATTGGTTGAAGAAGCTGGATTTTCTAGGAAAATTAGGTGCTTATAACTACTTATGTGAATAAATAATAAAAAGGAACTAGGGCGTACAGATCCATTAAGATATTCAACCAAATAAAGTCGACAGAATGCTACAACAAATAACTCGTCTTAACCAACCAATAGCTTCTTTAAGGTAATATATTGTGAATTAGAATTGTATAAATCCATATACATAACATCCATATCTCTATGTAAGGTTAGTCTAGATAATGGCTAAACCTTTCCTTATATAATCTAAATGAAATGAAAACGAGTCTCTTTAATTTTAAGTAGCTCTCTCGAATCTATCTCCATATCATTCAACTTGATGTGTGCATATTGACTTTTTATCTCTAAATCCAACACACTTTAACACTTTGAAACAAGTGATCATCCGTGGATGTTATTTTGCAATATATACTTGAAAGATGTAGTTGGAAAGATTTGCTATTTAATGAACAACTTCCATAACAAAAATCGGTTTTTAAACTTAACTTTACCCCACATCCATGCTAGCTAGGTATTTAGCCTACCATGTTTAGAAAAATAAAATTAATTGCATAAAAAATAAGAAGCATCAAAGGAAATTAAAATACAAAAATATAAAAAGATAATAATAAAAATTGCAATAAATAAGAGAATTTAAAACTAAAAACTTTCTTGAAATTAAAGAGAATAACAAAAGAATAATCCAACATGAAGCTACATCTTACTATTTTACTACCACACTCCTTACTTCAAATGTCCAACATCTCCTCCTTTATATACTAGGAAAATGAGATAGAAGAACCAAAAGATAAAGTTATTAACCAACTTTTACATAAATCAAAAGATAAGTCATGTACAAAGATATGAGATCAAATTTGTACTACTAAATCTTCAAATCTGTAGCAATCCAGCTGTATATGAGGTGGATAAGATCACAAAAGATCCACCTACTTTTGCCAAAAAGCCACTAGAACTGCCCTGTAGCATCCTTCCTGCATTCCTTTCCAAAACCTTGATTTTTAACATAAAAGTCACCAAGCTAGATTGTTTCTACTTTCAAGCTCCAAAGTCCAAGCAAGAAAGATATAAAATAATAACAAAAAGACTCGAGTCATCCATTTAAGGAAGTAAAACACAAGAGAAAAGTGGGTAAATTATGCCATATTATCAATATAAATAATACTCATCAACTTGTCTACAAAATGTTTGTGTTTGGTTTATGTTATTGGGTGAAATCTAACATTGTATTGCATACTTGAATTACTGTTATATGTTTTCTAACGTTGCTTTGTAGACAAATGGACAATGTTGCACCTTGGTTCGGTCGAATGAGGTAAGGGAACCCCTAACCCAACTATAAGAGGAGTCTCTAGTAGTGCTTAGGCACAACCAGACGAGCTGGAGTTTGGGAATGTCCATGGCAGTAGTGCTTCGAAACAACTCCCATAGTATAGTTAGCGATTGGCGCTTGTGCCAAAGAGTAAATACATTTCTATTAACTAATTGATAAAATTAAATTTTCATTGTATCGATACTAATTCAATTCATTATATAGCTCTAATGATAGTGGCGTGATCCAATAGATCACCCAGATAAACTGGTTCATGCTTGAGGGGCCATGGTGCACTTGGTCGCAAATCACTAGGAACGTAAGGTGCCGAATTTGAGAGCGTTTTTAGGTTCATAGTATATATTTAATTTGTTATATATTTCGTAATTTTATTTGAAGTTAAAAATCAACTAAACTTCTACGTACATGGCTACTACATTTGGAATGCGTCTTAGACACCCGAATGCTGAAGATATAGGAGACCAAGTCTTCAAAACCATACAATGACAATTTAAGTGCCTCCAAAAAACGAGCCACCCATGAAGGCAACTGGAATAGGACTCCATATGACGAAAAAAAGCCCTAATAGGGATATGACTGTGTTGAAGAACTTTTCTCCTTTCAATTGGATCTCTCCAGCTATCTAGGTCCAGATGATTGATCTCTTGATAATGAGCATCAGAAGGATGTTTCTATGGGGGCGCATGTGAATCAATACACCAAGGTAGATGGAGAAATAGCCAAACACACTGACAGATCGATCACATTCGCAGAGCACAGTCATCACCTGGTAGGACCTTAAAACTGATTACTTTAGTAGCTTGATTTTTAATATGTTATAATTAACAGATATTTGTATTATTTGACCTTTGTAGATGCAATCAAGACAAAGCGTACCATTGAACGTTGTGGACATGTTCAATCATACCCATAGGAAGAGATCAACTTCAGAGACCTCCTATTCGAAGATCGAGGATTACATGACTTTGAGGTGTAGTCAGGTTGTGTTAAGTATTTTGCATAATTGTTATACCGTAAAACGTTATAACATCTATATAATTTGGGTTAACTTTAAACTTTATAATTGGGTAGCTATCTATCTAGTTTGGGTTGACATTTGTTGGGTTAGGATTGTTTTAATTGAAATCTTAGTGTATATATGTATGTGCTTGTATATATCTATACTATCTTATTAAGCAAATTCACTAAAAGTCTTAAAATCTTAAAATTTTAAATGACAAAAATACCCTTTACTTTAACTTTACAATCAACACTTCCCCTTTACCCCAAAACGTCGATTCCCTTTACTCAGCTCCCCTCCCCCAAGACGACGTTTCAAAAAATCGTCCCTCCCAAGACGACAATTCAGGGATTTCTCCCACTCCCCAGATGACAATTCCCTTTAAAATGACTTTCCATCGCTCAATCGTTCAATCACTTATTGATCCATCGTTCAATCATCATCCATCGTTCAATCATCCATCGCATCGTCTCTCCTTGTTTTTCCCCTTGCTCTCCATCACCGCATCGTTCAACCTAAATCACTGTTGAAAGCAGCCATCACCGCATCGTCTCTCTCTGTTTTACCCTTGCTCTCCATCTGCCATTTCAGGTAACAATGCGATTTCATTTATCTGTTCGGGTTTTGCTGGTTGGGTTTGTTTATTTTTGATGAATAATGATTTGGGTTTGCTTGAAATATGCTCTTGATGTATATATTGTTTGGTCGCTGTGTTTCAGTTCTAAGATTTTCACTAATCTCTTTGTTTTTCGCTCTTGATGTATATATTGTTTGCACTGTTTTTCAATTATCATATTCACTAATCTATGTTATTCTAAAGGGAGTAGCTTATAGACACATATCAATAACTGGTAATTTATAAATTTATGTTATTCTATGGATTTTTGAAGTTTTTAGTATGCAAAACTGGTAATTTTAACTCCATACCTTTTGTTAATGAAAGTTCAGAAGCCTAATACTATTATATCATCATTAAGATCAAAAGCAATGCCATCAACAATAGCTTTGGTATAATGATACTTAGCTTGAATGATCTCCTTGCCATCCAATGCACTGCCATTATATAAAATGATGGTCCAAATCCTGTCATTGCTTTCATCACTAGAGGAGCCTGAGTAATAGGGTATAAAGCGTGGGGTTCTCTATTAGGACTCCACTTATCAGGTCAGAAGTCATAGTGGCATGCATAGACTACAGGTAAATTTGAGATCCAAATGTGGTCATCATCATGTTTAATCTATAGTAAACGTTGTCTTTATTATTATTGTGTACTTGTGTTTCAAGTGTAGTTTTGTAATGGAAACATTGCAGCATTTGTGCCAATATGAGTTTCAAAATAAGTCCAATCACTGCTCAAGATTATTTACTTTGTTTGCACCTTTTTAAATTTATTTAATTTCGGGATGGTGAAAGATGTAAGGCCTTTTATCTCAAGTTAGGTGAGGTTGGCAAAGGATTAAACTATAAGAAATTCGCTTACCTTAGCATGCTCACTTCCGACTGTATATTTTGACATGATGCAGGGGACTATCAAAGATAGGGATATAGTTGCAATCAAGTAAACTGTTATGGTCTTTACTATAGGAAATATAGGATTTCAGTGATGAACTTAAGATACCATTATGGCATCTTATATGTCTTCTTGGAATTGTAGCAAATGGTCATTCTTATTTCTTACATTTTACATGAACAGTACCATGTTACCATTATTCATAGGGATATCACCAAAAGACATGACCCGTCTCAAGTCTAAATTGGCAGGGTCCTTGTATATTCAAATTAATACATATAAATAGGCTTCCAATACTCTTTTCTAGATCTCTCGATCAAAATGTTTCTACAATGATCATTTGTAATTAATCTTTTCAGGGATAGTGGTTTCCTGGCACTAGAATATGCCATTCATGGTCAGAGAAAGTAGAAGCATATAACTTTGAAATTATGGTCTCTTAAATCATTAGTAGGAAGAGGTGCCATGACGTCACGGATGATAAATCAGTTTGTCAAAACTCCTTGATTATCTAAGCATTGTAAGGAC